CTTTATTTTTTCATTGTAAGTGCTAACATCTAGAAAGCGCAATTATTGAATAATATTCCGAGCTCAAATAATACCGTAATATTGTAATTCTGTTCAATCGGCGCGTGTATTATTAAATTTCGTTATTTTCACCGCTGATATCGAACAACCAAGCTTAAAGATTATATTTTATAAAGACTCTATGTCTTGACGTTTGCAAAATATATTTACTCTATTTTCCTTATTAATTTATGTGCAGTTCTTTCAGCCTATCTCTCTCGTCCTACGACATTTTTTCCACCTGTACGAATCACTCCCTCTGTCAATTCCGTGGCTGAGCATTTGGATTCCGCCCGTCACAAACAAATAATTACTAGTAAATATTGCGAGTTAAATAGAAATTATCGAAAGAGTGCCTGGTGTCCAACTCGTATTTGGCGACAATCTACGACGATTTGCTAAAGATCAGCTGAGTTGCCAAGTCTTGAATTAAGATAGTTCAAGGGCATTCTACAATACAATGCGTTGCAAACAACCGTTGCCAGTTGAAATGTTTATCGCGACAACCAAGAAACATAAATAATACCATTAACGCTTCTAATTGATTGTCGCGACGAACGCCAGTTTGCAACGCATTGTAGAATACCTTTTAAGTAAATATGCAATATAAGAGACTACCTTCCAATGATCTTCACCTTGACATATATTATCAAGGTCTCTTATATTGCATATTTATCCAGTTATTCAGCAAAATCTAATAGAAAACGCGACGGTTGTGTCATTGCTCGCGAATTTTAATTAATTAAATTGTGACTCGCGGTCACAATTTAAATAATACAGTTTTAAAAAATAATACAGGAATGTATGTGTATTTTTTTATGGTGTCCAGTAAAAATTTTAGTTTCCAGGATTTATCCATTGATTAATTTTTATTATTTAATTAATTTTCATCTATTCGCGCAGTATTGTATGCTTTATATTCAAGTTAGGATTCTATACGAATAAATTAAAATGTTAACAAATTTGGAATAGTATTATTGCTTTATATATTATAAATAATATCAAATGATCATTCCGTCAACAAACGATTTTTCTTATTACTACGTTCTATTTTAGACATTAAATTCAAATTTTCTATTGGTAATTTATTGCATCTTTAAGAGAAGACTTATACCTAAATACAATTTTTCTTATTATTTTTTTCTTTCTTCATGTTCTGGTTTTTTTAGATTAGAATAAAAGAATGATAAATTCTAGGTCAGCCCTGAAATTTTAGGAGTTTTCCAGAAATTTTTCAAAATATAATAAAATTCCAGTATAATTCCAGAATCGTTAACATCACGTTTACGTTAAATATTATTATCTAGCAACGTCATTTATTTTGGTATCTTTATTTAAGCAAAATTAGCAATTTACTATGGCGTTTAAATCATCGAGAACTCTCATTCTAATGTTTCTGTATCTTCATCAAATTTAAAACTCTTACAATTCTTCTATGAATAAACATATTAAAATATTAATTCAACCATGAATGCTAATAATTTGCGCGCGTAACTAAAATTCCAATCCAACTGCGAAAAATATTTTGAGAGATTGAACTGAATTGATCAAAGAAATATTTTCCACCGAGTAAAGGCGACACGAATATTAAGCACAAACATTTTATTTCGAAATATAGAACACTTGGCAGGAGCACGCATATGTCAAACGAATCTACATATAATATAATAATAACAAAATTATTTTATTTATTATATATAAAATATATAATAAATAAAATAAAATAATAATAAAATAATAATAAAAAAAGGAAGTTGATAATCCGAAAATATATATAAATTTAATTTAAACACAAATAAATTTAAACAAACAATTTAGTTGATGTTTTACTTCATGGATACCATTCACATAAATTTTCGATAGTCTACAGTACTGCTTCAATTCCGAACCTTTTAAATGACTTCGCACTTCCATATATTTATTTTCAGTCCATACCGATTTTTGAACTCTCTTTTAGCGATATATTATATATTTTAAGACACCTATAACAGACAATAATAATCATCACATAAGATAGTATTGATATCGTTTGAGAAAACTTGTATACACATGAAATTACTGACATATTTTTCAAAGACGCAAACATTAAAACTCTGAAATTCAGTAGTATGTAAACCTAATAAATGTAAAATGTATATTAATAAAAATTAAATAGAGAAATCTTACAGATTCTTTACAGATTCTTTACAGATTTTGCTAGTAGCATATCGAAGTGGCAATCTAATTTAATTTGAGGAAATTGTTATTAATACAAAGTTATACAATTCCCTCCCTTCCATTATGTAACTACATAAAGAATCGGAAATAGAGGCTCTACCGGTCAAATTGGATTTTTAGTGCTGACATAATTCTGTGTGAGTTTATATATATTACATATTTTCAATCTCCCAAACTGCGCACTGAATTTCATTAGACTAGATTTAATTCGATTTTTATTATTTTAAGGAGAGGTAGTCTTTGTTTATTTATTTTTACAATAGGAAAGAATATGTATCATTCGCAATATGTACAGGTTGGCCAATGCAGAAGACTTTTGGACTTGTTTCATATTCGATGTGAATTTTACATCTAAAAATATTTGCATTATCTGTTATCTATATCTATAATTTTTAACATCAGTTTATTAGATATATGTTAATGTATACTTTTAAAAAAATATTATATTTTATATTTACTGAATGTTATGATATTTGTCAGTTTACAGTAATAGAATGGAAAATTTACTTCCAAAAATATGTCCAATTTGATAAATTAAATTAAATCCAATGATACTTGATGACATATAACAAATTTGTAACTATCTAAAATCTAATTGCTTCATATTACATATTAATGACGAATAATACTATAAAACAGAAGGAAATGTTTACTCACTACTGGTAGTTGAAGACTACAACTTTTGGATAATCAATATTGCTTTGCTTTTAAGAATCTTTGGACAAAATTGTACATTCCATTTTAAATCATTATATTAATTACAATGTATTAATTACAATTGTCAGGTCTAATAATTTCAAATTTACAAAATACAAATACATTTAAATAATGAATAAGGATATATAAGTAATAAGCACATAAAATTATGTAATAAGCAAAATAATTTATGTTAATTAACAACGGCATTATTTTTACAATAAAAATAATTTTGAGAGTTATACAATATTTTACATATCTTATATTTAAAAAATGTAAATTTTAAAAAATGAAGTGTTGCTATCTAATAAATATGTGAAATAATGTCTTAATTTTGAAAATTATGAATTATTAAAGTTCTAAGTACATGCAACAGTTGCTTTTGTCATTCAAACATAAAAAATAAATTAAGAAAACTTCTCCCAGTTTTTGTAAATAAAAATTTTAACATTCAATTTTTAATATTTTTAATGTTATTTCTATTGTAATTAGAAAAGTAAAATATCCTTGCATTAGAGTGTGAATCTACATCGGACAAAGTCATTGAAAAATATTTCAATAATCTTTTCAAGCAGGATGCAATAATGAACTTATGTATCTTATCTTAAAAGTATAATATCGCTTTTCTTTTTCTTTTATTCCGTATTTAACAAACTCTTCTTTTCTCGTATTTAACAACGTAAATCTGTTTACTAGAATAGACAAACAGCTGTGAACATCAGATACAGCATAAATCGAGTATTTGACAAATTAAACTCATATTTTCAACTCATACTTCAATAATTTTTATCAAAATTTCAATTATATTCAATAATAGAATTTCAACAGAATCATAAGAGATAATATCTCATAGCTGCCGCGCAAAAGCAATGAATATTTAATAAAAATTGATCCGCTGGCTTCAATTATAAATATAATGATAAATATAATGATAAATGAAAAATATATCAATAAAGCGATATGTATTATGAATTTTATTTAAATAAAGAAGGCAGGAAAATGAATTTTAACGAACAATTTCTGCAGATTTATTTTTTATGCAATAAATTACATACACTGATAGAAATTTTGTAATTAATTTAAGTAATATGTAATGAAAGCTTGTGATTATGAGATAATTGAAAATGAATGGTTTAACTAAAAATTAATCTTAAATATAATGAACATGTGCATTAAATTTTATGCAAATACAAATTTAAAATTTTATGGAACATATATTAAATTTCATAAAATTTTATGAAACGTATATTAAATTTCATGTATACTTTATATAAATGTATATAAATGTATACTTTACAGTTACACTTTACATTATTAAATTTAATACAATGTTATTAATATTATTACATTTAATAATGTTATTATTAAATTGTTGTAAAATAAAATTCAACTTGTGTTTTTTAAAAGTTAATTTAAAAGTTAATGTTAAATTTCATGATATTTCATATTTTTAAATATAATGTGTTCTGCAGTATGAAACACGTATATTTTTTATTTTCATAAATTTACTAATCTTTTAACGATTCAAGAATTATCGTTATGCATCTGTAAATCGAGTTGCCTTTAATTGCTGGCTCTGCAACTCAGATAAAATAACTTTTATATTTCAAATTATAAATAACTTTTATATTATTATTATTAATTATAATTGTACAAAATTTTTTATAATATAAAGAGAAATTTGTATCTATCATAATGTTTATCAAAGTTTAATATTTATGAATGTTTTTTTCTTTATAACGAATAAATTATTTTATTTTTTGTAATTATTAATGACTTACTTGTCAAAAGGAAAATTAAGTAATACCAATTCTCGAAACATTGATATTTATTCATTAACTAAATATCCATTCGAGAATAGAATTGGTATTAATTGGTTTCGAGTGTAAGTCAACATTTTTTCTTGATTCATTATAAACATTCGCTGCAATGTAAAATGATATTCTGGCCAATCAAGTATACAATTGAATATATTCCACGCATAATGTAACGAGCAAAACTGAGTAACAAAGTCCAAAGCGTCTAAAATTTTCTCATGCCAATTAACTTTAATGCACAATAACAGCCAAAGATATCTGCGAAATATGTTTTCCATTATTAATTTTAAATCATCAATCTGTACGTAGATATGTATATTTACCGTATTTGATAACTTTTATTTTCAAAACGATGAATTTTTAACAATAAATTCATTTTTTTCATATTCAAATACTTATACATCTGACGTATAAGTAAGCTTAAAAATATTATTTCTTCAATATCAGAAAGGTCCTTTTTTTTATATAAAATATGTAAAAAAAGAGGTTGATTAATAATATTATCATCCAATTTGGCCCATGCTTTTGCTAATATGGAACACTGTATTTCCCATGTGATTTTATAATTTATATTGATATATTTATGAGGAATATTATGGAGCCATAAGTCCCAATTAATATGTTGTAACTGAAACTGAATTTTATAACATAAAATTTATTATTTATAATACTAAAATATTAAGAATATTAAAACTGTAATTTATTTGACATAAAGAATGTATTACCTTTTTACTCATTACTTTAGCAAAGTAATTATTCAAATACTCCTTCCAATCATCCGTCTTTATACTTTTGTATGCGAAATTAAAAAAATAAGATTTAAGAAATTTTTCGAATGCTAAAGATCCTCCTAAGTTATTCTCTAGGTAGTCTAAAAATATACATCCTAGTTCGTAGGGTACATGCCTAACGAAGTTTATAGGCAACAAACCAGTCAAATCAGGTATTAAGGTTTTTAACGAGTTGGTCGCATTTGATATGTCTATCTATAATATAATTTAGAAAATAATACAGAAGAAATGTGTTTATTTAATTATGTGCATGATGTAAAAAGATTCTGTAATCTGGTATCATATAAAATATTCTGTAATCTGAGATATCATATACGATATTACTAATTATTCCATTTGTTTTAATCAAAATTAATACTTTACCATTCTATTCAGCTCGACAGATGATAATTTTTTGTAAAATAACTGCGCATCACTAAGCGTCCATATTTTGCAAATGATTTTCCTGCCAACAAACATGCTGAAACTTTTATGTAGCCAGAAATGATGATAATTTGCACACGTAACTAAATGTCCTGCCCAGCTTTGTGCGATATTTACAGCGAGTGAACTGATACTAGAATCATCTCCGCAAAGTAAAGTTGGTGACAAAAATATTACGCATGGACATTCTATTTCGAAATGGCCGAGACACGGTGGAAGCAAGCATATATCGCATCTATCTAAAGATATCATTTTAAGTATTGTATAATAATAATAATAAAAGAGAAGATTGATAATTCACAAAATAATAAATTTCTTTCTATACACAAACTTAAATACATTAATAATAAATAATTTAATTGATATTTTATACCCCAAAAATAAGATCCAAACAAATCTTCAGCAATCCTCAACATCTTTTCAACTACGCCTGTACGAAATGTATTGACAGCTTCGTTAATAAATTTCTTCTCAGCAAATACATTGCTTCTTGAACTAAGACGTTCTTTCTGTAGTGAACCTACAGCTATAGTTACTGCGTAAGCTGCTACTTGTTTCGCTTGAAGAAAATTATATAAGTTTACTTTCAAATTTTTTAATATATTTTGCGAAAGTGCAGACATTATAACTGTAAAATCTTTTGGCACTATAATCTAAAAAATGAAATACATATCAATAAAAATTAAATGAATGTTTTATTTTAGATTAATTAAAGCAGTTTATAAGAAAAGAGAATAGATATTGTTTTTATCATCATATATTTAATTTTTTTCACTGATACATTTTATTTTTTCGTAAATTTTTATTATTTTTATTAATAATATTAATAATAATCAATCATGTTTTAATATAAATGTATAAAATACACATGCATACACTATCTACATTAAAATTTTTACCGTAGCAGTATATGAAAATTTGACAGATGGTGTATCTTGGCAGGGAAATACTGCTCTAGCGAATGTTAACTGAAACAACAAAAGTTTTTATACAACTTGTGTTGATATCGATCAATTTTATTTAACCAATTTACCTTGTTATTAGACAATAGGAAAGGATGTGTACCATCGGCAGTTTGTGCAGGTGTTAGCCAATATAATGCAGGTGAGTTTGGACTTGTTTCATATTCAATTTGAATTTTACATCTGAAAGTAACGCGTACTATTAAAGATGTATTCAATTTTTGCATCAATAACTTTTAGTAATTGTATTTTTTTAATGTTTTATATTCACGTAGACATAAGATATTTTTCTTCAGTTTGTGGTAACTGTATGGTAAATGGGCTTCCAACAATATGTTGATGTCCAACAGAATATTTTAAAATTTCATCAGTAACAGGATTTGTAACACGTTCTATGACAAGTGCATAATTATCTAAAATCTAATTAAAGCGATATTACATATTAATATTACATATTATCAAAACTTTGCTCAATATAATAGGAAATATCTACTCACTATTTCTGTAATTGAACATTTTTTTTCTATAGTCAAAATCGCTTTTCCTTTAAGAACGCATCGATTAAAGTCTACATATAATTCTAAATGAATATTAGTCACACGTGCAAATTCTAGTAATTAGAAAGCAATAAATATTAAAAAATGTTTAATAAGTAACAGTATATAACACAATATGCGTAAATATCAATACATATCAGAAAATAATATACTGTAATTAAAACTATTATAACACAATATGATATTTTTAAAATACAAATAAACATCCGATTTTTGTGCTAAATATAATATATTTTATATATTTAAGAAAATTAACAGTAGAATGTCATCAATTAATTAAATTCGTGAAAGATTAATTTAATTTTTTTTAATGTAAATTACTAAAGTCTAAAAGTTTAAAGATATATACGATATTTCATCTTCCGAATCTTAATGAATTCTGCAAATATATTTTACTATATCTCTTTTAAGAAAAAATAAATTAATGAATAAAATTACAATTCTAAACAGAATCGTAAGGCTTGTAACATATTCTTGTAAGATTTGTAAGAATTTTTAAGTTATATCTTTAAGCAATATTTTTACAGACAGCTTCTTACTATTAAATTACATAAATATTACCAAAAAAATTTTTTTGTAAATTTTATTGCCATAAAATTTACAAAAAAATCATAGATATTTACGAATAATTACGTAATAATAATGTACGTCTTACAATATGCGCATAAAATTAGACTATTAGTGATAAAGTCTTACAAGTTTTACGAGAACAAGTTACGAGTCTTATGATTCTGCTTAGAATTGGCCCATAAGTAAGCTAATTAAATAACTAAAATACCTGGTCTTGAAAAGGAGTGTGGATCTCCAGGAGATAAAGCCATTTTAAAATATTCACGTTGTAGCTTCTCCAAGTAATATCCGATAATGAATCTTTAAATATATAAACTGACTATAAGGACATAGTATAATTTCTTCTACTTTTATCCATTTTTCTTTGTTTGACAACATCATTTGTTTATTACAGTTTGAATAGCTAAACTAACTGTGAATACCACGTAAATGATTTTGTTTGGATACGTTTGACACAAATCAAATTCGCAATATATTCATAGTTTATTTTATTTAATTTTTACAGAAGCCAAAGGAACGGGAAATTTTTTCTTCGCATTTATTGACGGATAGCGAAAAAATGTATTAATATGGATTTGACACACATCATTGTACAACACAACTTTCTTGATGCTATTTAGTAAACTTGAAGCATTGAAATGGTAAACGTATTTATGAAATTGTACTATAAAAATAATGACTGCACTATTTTTATAATATATAATTTTACAGAAAGTGCATATTGTTCGTCATTTCAAAATGTGTATGTTGAATGGCAGACCTGGATTAAGAGTGGGAAGGGGGGAGAGAGGAGGCTAAGGGAGATACAGCCCTGGGCGTCTTTTTTTAGGAGGTCTCTTAGCCTTAAAATTGTATTTCATTGATAAAAATAAATAATTGAATGAAAATAAACAATTAAAAATTTCAATTTTGTATTTCTCGTACAATAAAATACACAATATAACACATAATATTCACACAATGACTGATACTAGACTATAATATCGTGATTGGCATTATTAGTAACAGAGAGCGAACTACTGAAAAATCTTGATTTTAATCAATGAATTTAATCAATAAATGTGCGCACAATAAATCACAAAGAAACTTTTGTAAGTATCATAAAATTTTTCATGCATAAATTTATATAAATATGTATAAACATACACAAACATGTATAAATATTTATAAATATATACATATAATTATGTATGAAATGTGTCCATATATATTTATATAGCTTTCTTCTACTTGTAAAATTACTTTTTAGTATACTAAAAAAAATAATAATAATAAGAAAACATAATAAATAATTTTAAAAAAAATTTTCGCATTGTTTACTTTAAAAAAAAATCAAATTTGGAGACATATAAAATATTATAAAAGAATTGCTCATATATAATTGTAAAATTATACATAGTTATGAGCAAATTTTTTTTCTAAAACTTGATTTTTTCTAAAACGAACAATGCGACATTGTCTCATTAACTATTTTTGATGTCTTCTCAATATTATTATTTTTAGTACACTAAGAAGTAATTTTAAAAGAAAGAAAAATGTATGCGAATCTTATTTCATGTATAATTAGATACATTTATGAATATTTAGAAGAAAGTCCCCTATTATAAGATAGGCTCCTAATATAAGATAGTGATATTTCTGCTAAACTAATAGATGCTATCTATCGGTTCCGTGAATTTATTGCTCTTGGATTGAAAACTATTTAGTAGAAAATTTATTATTATTAGATCATGCCTGTCATTATAAAACAAGATTTTAGAATTTGGATATCTTTAAGTTTCATTGAGATGAGCATTTAAATCTTGTTTATTATTTAATAAATAAATATTTGGCAATAAATTCTTCATGTAGTGATAGAGTAAGATATTAATAGAAAAATACAAGATATGTTGAATTGCTTAATTACGGAAATTAGATTTAATGATCGTAAAACTATAAGGCATGAAAATCGTAATATTATATGAGATACCTAGAATATTTCTAATATGAAATAACCCCATATCATAGTGAAAATCATTGCTAAAATATATATATTATTGTACAATAATAAAAAGGATAACCGGAATGAACGTCGAGTGCTTATTTCTGCGATGCTTGATTTCAATTACTTGAAGACGAGTTCTGGGTATAATATATCGTATACTCACATTTTTTGAGCATCCTGGCTGCGTTTGTTTGTATTTAAGAAACATTAAATAAAGTTTTTTAGTTACAACACTGATATACTTTGCATTTTACTATCGATTTCTCGGAGCATCTCATATTAAAAACACAATTTTTGCTCACTTTTTACATTTCTTTAATTTTCAAAAAAAAAATGGAATTTAAATTAAATTTTATATAACATTATCTTAAAGTTTATTAAATTTCCCTCAAAATGATCTATTATTTTTTTAAATTCTTCTGGCATTTACCCAAAATAAACTCGATATCTCATAATAGGGGCCTATCCTTTATATGTATTTAGGTATGTTTATACATATTTATATGTATTTACGTAAAAAATTTTTTATCAGGATTAAATTTTCAATAAAATGTGAATTATCTTTATGTATTTATTTTTCAGCATCAACAATTGAATTGTATTATATCTTATAAGCTGCAAAAACGACAAAAGTCGTTATACGAACAATCACACTCGATAAAAAATTTTTCAAGTATAAATAATTGCTCATAAAATTGCAAAAAATTGCTCATACATAATTATGCATAATTTTATATATAATTATATGCAAGTAATTTTTTTACATTTTTCTTCAAATTTGATTTTTTCTAAAACAAATAATGCGAAAATTATTGAATTACTTATAGAAAATAAGAAAATGCAGTACTAAAAAGTTGATAAAAAATTCTGAAAAAATTCTTAGACTTCCATGAGAAAAAAAATTAATGATTTTTGTGTCTTGCAGTTTTTCTGTAAAGTTGATAGTATTTGAGTAAAAAATAAACGTCGATAAGTCGGACCGCTACTATGATTCAGCGAATTGATGCACTGCAGTGTACAGTTTTTAAATATCTGAATATTATCGTAAATATCTGTGCATATTAATTAAAGATAATAAAATAAATCATAAAATTAGTATTGCATTATGTGCTTAAAAAATTAATAATTTTACATTAATTTCTGTAAGACCAATCATTGGTACTTCTAAAGAAGTCACGTGAGCTCCCTTTCATTGCCGCCTCCTGCGTTGGCTGCATAACCTGAAAACGTACTCGAACGTGCCTGCTTTTACGAGGAAAAGAATAGGTAATTTAAAATTTTATATGTTGGCCGTGTTTCGTATCACTCAAATTTATTCTGCACACATCTCTTGATGCTATTCTCATTTATTTAGAAAAGTGTTGCGCTTTGCACTTTACTGAAGTTGGGGGAGGCATACATAAAACATACGGTCTTTGCAACTCTAAAATTATTAGATCGCCATACGCCACGTTGCGCCCGATATTTTTTAAATATATGATATACTTTAAACCTTTTTCTTGCATATTACACGTTTACATCAATTTATGTGTATTTATATACATTTGTTATGTGTAATTTTTAACTCGAGGGTGCAACATTCTGAAGTGTAATTAATGATCGCCCATATATCGTTTGTTATATTTTGCCTGATTGTTCCAGAACATTTGCAACCATGAGCCGTTTCTTCGCAACTGGCTCAGATTCTGAATCTGATAGCGCCTCTGAGGAGGAGCAGATCCCAAGGGCGCCTGCGACAGCTTTTACAGTAAGCATCAAGACAAGCATTTTCAATATATTTTTCAATATATTTTTAGATGGTTTCCAGTTGACAACAGACCAACACAAGTATTTTGATGTTGTAAAATTCTTTAATTTATTGTTTTTTTCTCTTAATTTCTCATTGAATCTAGATCAGGCCTATCTAATTTGAGTTCTAGAGCCAAAATATATAACCATCGACGCAAAAAAATTCAAGATAAGTAAGTTTATCGGGGACTGGAAAGTGTTGATACATATCTAAGTGACTTATCAACACTTCATAAGTATTATATATTCCTAAAATTTTACATTGAATTTTTTTACGTCAATGGTTTTGCATTTTGGCTCCGGAGCTTAAATTGAACAAGCCTGATCTAGGTATATAAACCAATCATGTAAAAGAATTTTACAACAATTGTAAGCTGTTTTCTCTGCTAAACAGTCTTTGTTATTCATTTAAAATGCCAAGAAAAATAAAACAACTCGGTTGAATAACTCAATATTTCTTTATAGTTTAGTGATGATGAGGAAGAGACAAAGCGCATTGTGCGCTCTACAAAGGAGAAGCGATATGAGGAAATCGCAAATCTTATAAAACTTATTAGGAATTACAAGAAGATTAAAGACATGAGCAGCATGTTGACTAGTAAGTTTCAACTTCTACGACGTTTTATGCATTTGAAAATTACATTAGCAAGGACTAAACATAAGTATCATTTGTTACAATATATGTTTATAAATACATTGGTATAATGGTTGGTGATTAAATACTTTTATTATAACAAGTATTTGCTTCCATAATTCTAGGTTTCGAGGACTTGATGCGAGCCTATCAGAAAGCTTTACCCGTAATCACCAAGGAAGAGCTTGGACAAACGCCAAGATTTTACGTTAGGTGTTTGGTAGAAATGGAGGATTTTATTAATGAGGTATGGGAAGACCGCGACGGGCGCAAGAATATGTCCAAGAACAATTCCAAGTCACTTTCAACATTGCGTCAGAAGTTGAGAAAGTATAATAAGGACTTTGAAGAAGACATTGGCAAATTTAGAGAAAATCCTGATCAGGACGACGACGAAGAAGAAGAGAAAGGTTTAATTACTACAAGAAATATCTTAAATACTTAGTTCAGTTTAAATCATTTCGAAATAAAAAAAATTAATGATTCTATTTCAGCCGAAGAGGTTCTAGAATCTGAAGAAGAAGATGACAGTGCTGTAGCTTTCAAAAAGGCAGGATCAGAAGCAAGTGAACCGGATGTGTCCAAGTTCAAGGTTTTTTATTCAAGATTCTAAAATTTACGATATATGATATACGATATGCGTTCTTGTTTATGATTTATTAAATTAAAAATTCTGTGTGGTGCAGTTTTAATAATTTATTTAAATCGCAAACAGCAGAAACAGGAGAAATTGCATCGTGTGCTGAAGCTTTACAAAAGCATCAGAAATTGATTAAAATAGTTCAAATCTATTTCCTTGTGTTACAGAAGACTGCAACCGATGGTGAAGATGGCAGTGAAAGTGAATCTGACTGGGGTAGTGATTCGGACAGTGAGAGCACAAGCAGCGATGACGAAGGTCAATATCAAAACATTCGTGAGCGTTTCATCAAGAAGTACGTTTTTTTAATCTATGAAATATAATTTGATATAAATGCTTTCTACTTAAACGGGCAAAATTTATTAATATATATATAAATAACGCCGTGATCTTTTTTATATAGAGCTACAACTCAAGAAGAAGACGAAGATAAGGCGAAGAGAAAGGAACAACGTAAAGAGCGCAAAGAAAAAGAGCGAAAGAAGAAACGCGACGAAGATGATGGCGAAGGAGAGTGGGAAACCGTCAAGGGCGGCGTGGCTATTCCCTCTGAAAAGCCAAAGATGTTCGCCAAGGATGCGGAGATTAATATCGGCGCGGTGTTGAAGAAGCTTTCCGAAATAATTGCAGCTCGCGGTAAAAAACGCACGGACAGACGCGAGCAAATAGAACTCTTGCACGAACTGCAACTGATAGCAGATGCACATAATCTTGGCCCAGCTGTAGCCGTAAAGATCAAGTTTTCCATCGTGTCTTCCATATTTGATTACAATCCAAAGGTTTCTGATGCTATGAAACCGGAATATTGGTCCAAGTATGTAATTTTGCGTGGAATAAATATATGTATGTGTACATATATATATAAATTTATAAACCTTAAGAGAAAAGATTTAAAGTAAGCAAGTATTAAATAAATATTTTTTACAGAATACTTGAACGCATTACTGAAATGTTGGATATGCTACTGAGCAATTTAGATATGGTAATAGCAGAAACAATAGCTGAAGAAATGGAGGAGTTTGAAACCACGCCGTACAAAATACATGGTTGCGTATTAACACTGGTAGAACGTCTTGATGAGGAATTTACAAAGTTGTTGAAGGAATGCGACCCACACAGCAATGAATACGTGGAAAGGTAATATCTTTTGAAAGAAATGCAATATATTTATGACTATTAATATTGTTTATATTGTAAAATATCTACACTTGTCACAGATTGAAAGATGAGAAGCAAGTTGCTGCCATAATTGACAAGGTGCAGGAATATTTAGAGAGGCAAGGAACTGTGTCCGAGCTTTGTCGCGTGTATCTTCGTAAAATTGAGCATTTGTATTACAAATTTGATTCAAATGTTTTGAAACAAAAGGAGGTAATTTTCTTAGTATTTACATACGTATGAAATTTTTCTATTTTATTAAGGCTCCTGAGTATTTACAAGGGACATTAGGCAACTAAAAAATTCAAAAGAATCTGAAGCAAATCTTTGTGTGCAAGTAGAGTAGTTCATCAGTAGAATAAAATTATTTTTTGTTTGTGCAGAATAACAGTTTTAGGGGGTAAAACCTCTTTAAAAAAAAATCAGTTTTTTTTTCTTTTAAAGCAAATATCGAAACTATAAGAGATAGAAAAAAAATTCCAATGAAAATTGAATGGTTTCAAAAGTACTTTAGAACTATAATAAAAAAAATTTTAATAGAAGTGGGGGATAGAAGTATGGAAGGGATAACATGGTGCAATTAGATAGTCTCTCTCTCTCTCTCTCTCTCTCTCTCTCTCTAAATCTCTGCCCTCTCTGTCTATGGACTGTTCATGAGATTTAAAAGCTACAAGTGAAAAACGCGAAACATGAGACGGTATTCATAATCCGTTTTTATTTTAAAACTTAAATATAATATCTTAAGATAATACAGTTCTCGGATTGACTTACGGCATCTTAAGATTGTACTTAAGAC